AGGTATATATCATAGTATTTTAATGAAATCAAACAGCGCGAAAAATATTTTCTGGAAATGATGAAAGCGATGTTGACGCTTCAGTTCAGTTCTGAATTTCATGATTTATATACTCAAGTCAATCATAAAATTGTCGATTTATAGTTATTTTTCTATGAAAAGAAACAAAACAAAATCTAAATGTCGTTTAGAATACAACAACAATTCTAAAATGTTGTCGGATGACAATTCATCACTCACAGTTCTTGATTTTCAAATTCAGTGAGTGACCTATTTCCATTCAAACCAGATTTCAGAATAAATTTCTGTCACAATATTTGAGCACATGTGTGTTATTTAACAATAAAAAAAATTCAATCAATATGAAACGGATGTGAGAAGTGAGATGAATTGTACAGGAAATTTTGAAATAAAATCACTGTATTAGTTAGACAATTGCAAATGGGTTAGAGAAATTGATAAATTAGGGGAAATGGAGTAAAAGAGGTTTCGGAAATGATTATTTGGGAAAGCAGTTCCCTTGTTGAGTGAAAAGTTATGTTAACGAAATCCAGACGTTTATGAAAGATAGACACATCGATGATACCATTTTAAACCTGACATCGAAAAAGGTACAGAATTATTCTAAATGTTATCGCTCGCGAAATTAATTTCCATATTGTAATAGTCGATAGGTGGGAATCACTAGTAATACTGAAGTTGTTTTCAATTTCAGAGACAGTTTGTAGTGATTAACCGTTAGCCTTAGCGCCTTCTAGTATGATATTTTTGCAACCATGAAAATTGAGTTGTTTTCGATTGAATTGGTTTTTGGTGTTATTACTCAACGAAATAGTGCCAAAAACAATTAGCATTTGGCTTTGGACAAGTGTTTTCGGGATGTTAGCACTCACCATAAAATGTATCAGAAGCATTGAAGGATATGAAGTTCTCTCTCCCTCTAGCTGTATATATATACACAAAAATCATAGAATGAAAGCATATCGTTCTAGTTACAAAGAGACAAGACGGTAGTTGAAACTCTTTCGAAAACCAACGTACCACTGCATATTATGAAAAACATAGAATAAGGAGCATAATACATAACAAAAATGTCTTGGTTCAAATTAATCTACAGATCCAATCACAATAAAATAATCAGGAGTGAAATATGCTCCTACTACATACAAGATATTAGTATAATACAAATAATGGGAGCAAAAATATAAATAATTTACCAATGGGCGCATAAAAACATATTGAATTCAATACAATTAGCCCCTTTGATAAATTTCGATAATGCAATGAGATGAAAGTTATCAGAATTATGTAATATATTTGCGTAATACATTTCGAACAATCTGATCACACATATATACTTAATAAGATATTCTTATATGAAAAATAACATGTCAACGACTTACCTTTAACCTGTCTAGTTGACCTTTTATTTTTTTTATATATAAATGTTCTTAACAAGTATACGTGTGATCAGATTGCTCGAAGTGTATTACGCAAATATATTACATAATTCAGATAACTTTCATCTTCTCATTGCACTATCAAAATATTGAATTCAATATCAACAAATATTAAATTCAAAAATAAATGAGTGCCCAATCTGATGAGGCTTTATTGAGAACCGACAATCTATCTATACAACTTTGCATGTATATATAACGCGATTTTGTATATTCTAATTATTTCAAAAACACTTCTAACCTACTCATTAACATTCATTCAACTCTTTGTGACCTGTTATTCATATAATTAGTTAAAATCAATAGATTTTCCTAAATAACACTAAATTTTGTTATAACACAAGGTGTAAACAAAATTTCTTTTGGACGCTTCATGTTAAGGTCAGGTTTACTAATAAAACGTTGACTATTGACTTTTTTAAAAACATAACCACTAAAAATACAAATCAATTTCGAAACTATAGGAGAGTTAGTCGATGAATTATTTAACTAGAGATATCGCAATGTTAAAGTAAAACATCACTTAAAACACTCATGCAACGCTGTTCGAGAGAATTGATTAAAGAGACAAAACAAATCAAAAAGCTTAATTTGTACTAAGAAAATGTACATTTCTAGAGGTATTATATCCTAAAACCGATCAGATTGCAACTACTTAGATTTTACACAGTAACGGAATGCTGATAATGATTATTCAGGTGAAAGTGACTAGTTGTTACACTTTTCTTTCCGATTGGTTTATCGTTTGAAATTAGGTGATTGAGTATGTTTGATTGCAAATCAAAATGCTCATCCGACTGCACATTATTTTTGATTTGTGAATCTACATTGTGTAGGCCTTTAGAAAAATACAGTCGTTTTCAATAATATATTGGACATCGTGAAATGCAAGACCAGATTGTTAGCTACGCCAATGTTCACCAGTGCACAACAAAAAGATGTTACTTGAACTTTCCTGTCAGTTGAGCACTATTACTTGTGAATTAGTTTTATATAAATGGCAATCAAGTTACTGATGATAAACGAGATTCCAGACATCTAAGAGACAGATCAAAGTGGATATTTCGAGTTCCATCTTCCACATTCTAGTCAAAATTCTAACAACTACTTATCGATATGTGTAGATTGAAAATTTTCGTTACCAGTTGAAGGCTATACAAACGTATATATTACTGATGCTTGACGAAAGTGTGTATGGAACAATCTACCAGTGTGTTATTTGGAGCCTTGTCTATTAATACAGAACTCAACAATTTGACCAAGATTATAAACAGTGCATGTATTCTCTTACTATTCTTTCAGGTTATTTATTGTGAAGTGAACGTTCTTTTTAGAATTTCAGTCCGAAATTAGGCTTTTAATTTTTAGAGTAAATATTCCAACACTTTCTTCTTACGTTTGAACTTCTTATTGAGATTTAGTACGTAGACTACTATTTGCATGTATAAATTGGTTTTTGTAGATTCACATGGTGTAATTTCTGAAGGATATCTACTAAGTCATTTCATTTATCTATATTTTGGATTTAGCTAATTTGTCTTTAATTTTTGTTTGTAAGGAACTCACGTAAAGTTTATTTTTCTGAATATTCACTGGTTAACCTTACTAGAGCAATAACAACGAGCGTAACAGAATAGCGTGAATCCATTTATGTCTATTCAACAACATGAGATTTATTCCATCGTTTAAATCTTTTTATATGCATAAGATTTTCTTACTGAAAAATATTATTTGTTAAGGAATCCTAGTTGCTTACTTCTCTTTGAAAGTTTCACGACTAATTATTCTGCTGAAAGAAAATAACACCTCCAGAATCATTCTTAAGGTCTATAAATCTCTATCATATCAAAATGGCCTGACTGGTATATATAGATTAATGCAAAATTACACAGTGCTTTCATAAAATACGAAAACCATACATCAAATACTTTATTGTCACATATTCCATCAATTGTCTCTTACAAACGTCATCATTCCTTCATTCCTGTTATTACAGTTCCTCCCTGTTTACATTCCTATTCTCTTCAACTCGATCTTCTTAACTTTCTGCTGCTAAACATTCTACTTCTGGTTCGTGTTACATACTGCTTATATCGACATACATAAAAAGCACACACCACATAACAAGTAAAACGTGAAAATAATCTCGAAAATGGCACTGTTTGAGCAGTTTGATTTATCTTTTCATCTAATGTCACAAATACTGCAAAATATGTGAACTTATATTCAAACTTGGTTTCGTAGCTGATTTTTCAAAACTTTGTTATTCATACAAGTTTGACAAAAATATATTACTTTTCTATAGTTTTTTTTTCAGCTTGACTAACAATCAACTACTATCTATTTTTGATATTACATATAGTTTTTTTTTCTGTTTTATTCCTGATAACTCAGTCAAACATTAATCAGTATAAAAATGTAAGCACATCAAAAGTTTAAACTAAGATGTTTTAGAAAAAATAAAAAAGTGAAAACACAAAAATTAATGTTCTTTAAATGTTACTAGAAAATAGACACAAACGACATTTACAATTTAGAGCAAATACTCATTCTAAAAAGAAAACAGAATTTAATACAATTCATTTGATGAAGTAATGTATTTATTAAGTGAATTCATGAGTCGATTAAAGCTAGACCACCATAGAAAATTTGGTGGTTGTGCTAGTAATTGCTAAAATCAGTTAACCCATTTACCTGTGATAAAAATACGCTATTCACACACAAGAAAGCCTGATAAACATTGTTATATTTTATGTTAAGCATATTAGATAGAGTTGAATTTGAGTTAATTTGGTCAAGAATAATAAATTATGGAGCTGAGTGAATATTTATAAGAGTCTTTAATTTGGACCTGTGTAGAAAAAGCAAAGGTTTTGGGTAAATTCACATCCCAACTGCAAGATAACGTATTTTAAACGTCGAACTAATATTAAACACCATCAATCTTGTTCAAATTTCTTCCACAATCCAACGTTGATATTTTTAAACATAGAATATACTGAATACTAATTGTTTGCAATAAATTAACAAGTTAATGCTCGGCGATATTACAATCAATCGACTTATATTTGACCAATCGATTTTTCAATGTTTCCGATCGAATTGCCAATTACAAGTTTTGGCTGCTTATGCTGATAATGTTAATCTATCAAAGAAAAATCCTACAACTACACAAGTAACAGAAACAAATCCATGGAGCATTTAGTCTTATCTGATGATCATGGAAACAGATCTTTTCGCAATGCTCCTGTTGCTATGGCATACAATGAAGATCTTTAAAATTGAACAGTAACTACCTTTTTATCAATGGAACTAACGGTAAAATATAAACGTAAACAATTACAACATATTTTTTTAACTAAACAGCATTTACAGATTGTCTAATTTGTTTTAAAAAATTATGAATCCAGAAATTAGACGTTGAGAAAAATGGAACAGCATTTTGTGTAAAATATACAAAATCTAAAATAATAGTTGGAAAACATTATGGAAACTGGACAAAATGAAAGTAGAAGTAGGAAAAGTCATTGAGTAAAAAAATCATGGGGAATTCGGTGAACGATGTGATCTTCGTATACGGAGTATTCTGTGACCTAAATGACGGAAAATATTAAGAAAAAGTATGAAGCTCTAATTAAATGTAGGACTAGTTTAAGAAACAAAAACAAAATCATTTATTTAACCTGAAGAAAGAGTTTATTCAATGCTTAGATATCAAATGAAAAAGAACTTCGAATGGACTGTTCAAATCTTTCTATAGAATACGTAAAGTCCTAAAAAATAATTAACACAATATAATAGTAAGACTATGAATTTGTTGATAAAGTTACAGTCACAAATTGAGAAGTTCAGAACCAAACCAAAGCACACTATATCCAACATCTATAGTTCGAATTACGAAATCCTCAGTCAAAAACATCAAAGGCAAACAACCCTTTCTACATGCATACGAAAAGTGCCTTTTCAATCAAGAAACAATTGACTGAAGACAACATAAAACTTTAAAGTTAGAAACTCAGATTTCGGAAATACTAACCATACTTATGAAAGGTCAGGGCTTTAAAATAATCGATTATTCACAAACAGACAGAAATAATTTCATACATTTGGTTCTCTTTATGAATTTAAATGGAGCAAGAACAAACATTGACGCAGAATAGTATGAATTCAAAATATTTCGAGGTTTCTCGTCGGCTGTTTACAAACCAAAAATGTGATAGAATTTTTTACATTGAGATAGTGTGAAACAATTGACATAAATGAGTGTAAATAACGGGATTACAATGATAACTATATATAAAGGCAATTTCATCTCCTTTGAAAAATATTCATCACAAAAACACTTGGAATGGTCTATATCTCAATTACCATAACTTCTGCTCAATGAGTTACAAAAAGGGTATTTTACGAACCCTTTTTGACTGCGCTCACAAAATTTATTCAAAGGAATGCCTTGACGACGAAATTACTCTCATCACTAATGTTCTACCTGAAAATGCATACCCGTTGAAATTCATCCAGAAATATGCAAAAACCAATCCTCAGACAAAGTACGATGGAGTAGAAAAGAGAACTTGCTTCTTACATTTACGTTTCAAAGGAGATGAAATTGCCGGATTAATTAATCACAGATTAAATTCTGCATTGAAAGTGGCCTACCCAGAAGCGAAACTTACGACAGTATGACAAACGAACTGCTCACTTAAACTAAAATCGACAAGTCCTCTTTTATTAGTAGCTCCAACTGCATTCATCAATTCACATGTACGTGCCAAAGCACATACATTGGAAAAACTGAGAGAAGAGTGCGTGTTCGCATTTCTGAGCATGTTCCGAAGAACTTGATGCTGCGAGGGACCAAAGCTCTAAACAGTGCAATAGCTCAGTATTTACTTGACACCGGGCATACTGCCGACATTTTGCATGCTTTTAAAATTATCAATAAACAAAGAAGCGCGACTACTCTTCGTTTCGCTGAAGCGATTGCGATAAAAAAACTTAAACCGGATTTATGCATTCAAAAAGAGACTTGAGTAAAATTATCACTACCCTGGTAACCCCCTTTTTTGTGTGTGTTTTGGTTATTTGGGTTATTTTATTCATTTATTTATTTTCAAATATTTATACTCCTCCCCTATTACATAATTCTTAAACCACATTATTATTCACACATTTCCACCACCTGATCCTCTTAAATTAACTTAACTTTTCAAATTCTATTTAATTATTATTACGTAATCTACCTTATCATTATTCAATTCCATTAATCTCTCTAATTATCACACAATTTATGAACTTCACTAAACTATTATACCACCCAACCTGAATTAACCCTTTTTTGACCTCTGACCTGTTTCTAGCATATATATATATATATATATATATATGTTATTATTGTAACCCAGTTATTTACACTCATCTATGTCAATTGTATCACACTATCTCAATGTAAAAATTCTATCACATTTTTGGTTTGTAAGCAGCTGACGAGAAACCTCGAAATAATATGAATTCATACTATTCTGCACCAATATTTGTTCTTGCTTTATTTAAAGACAAAAATAACTTAGTGGTCCGCATACACATATATGAAAAGAAATTAATCAAGTTCCGAACTTAGTATCAACAACGAGAAAACTTAAACCCTTACACAATTTATACACCTTTACTGCATACCAAAAATAATTCAAAATGGAAATATAGGTTTAAGATTTTGGATACTTTAACAAATGTGTTAAGCAATTTTATGAGTTAAAATCATGATGACTATATGAGTTTAGTATTAGATTGTAGATAAGATCTAAAAGAATTTAACTTACAGCACAAATAATCGGAATGTGCTGAATCTTCTCACCCATTTATGGAGTGATCGACACCCAGTAAAACAGGCCATTGTAAGCAGGGTAAGACTCCAGTAGCGTATAATTCGCATTCCAGTAACCATCTGTTTTAAAGCGACTTGATGCATCCTTCAGAAGTTCGTTACTGTGTAAAAAAAGTTCACATAAAAAAACAATAGGGAAAATGCCCTATGACTGCAGTTACAAAGATCATGATACTCCTAGAAAAGTACTCGGAATAAGTCGAAAATTGGTGGTTTAAGTACATGTTTTTAAAGAATGTATTATTTATTAAAGTCTCAGTAGGTGGATAATGTGACTAACATGCGGTAGTTGTGGTGCGAAGATGGTACGTAATTATTAGAATGGATACGTATTTGTCAAAGTTTAAGCTTTATACAACAAATCTACTTTGCAGGGCCAATAGCTAAGTACACAAAATTCATAACGGCAGTCATTTGATTCGATTTTATAAACGTTTATGAAACAGTATGTGAAACGTATCGTAATGATTACAATAAACACCGTTCATGGATCGAAAACAGATTTCTTAGATTATTGCCTGGTAAAATTTGTAAGTGTGGCTTGTTTGTGAATTACCAATGCTGATTTACTAACTTAGATTTTACACGATTAGTTAAAATTGTTCACAATCACATACTAATAGACCTTCAGAAAATAAATATTGATGTAATGTAATGATATTAAAATCCTAAATAATAAGACAAGGCACGCCACAGTTACAGAAGTAATAAATCAGACAATGAACATTAGATGCCTAAGAGGGAAAGATTTACTTTACAAAAACCTGCTTTCATTTTGTAAACTTACTACCTATTTAGTAAGTTATCTCGTAATCCAATTGGGTGATAGGAAGAAATATACATATCTAGACTCAGGCAAAGGTGCAGTACTTTATAGATAATGGAATTAAGCATCTATTCAGCATATACAGGTACAGTACAGCGAACTTATTATCTGGCTACATGAAATCTTTTTGACAGTATTTAAGGTATGGGTACCAAAAAAATTAGGTAATAAGTTAGTGGTCATTACCTTTAAAGACGTAGCAGTAGCATAAGTGAGATAACGTGAAGAGATACAAAGTTCACTTTTCTGTTCACAATGTTTTTCGTTAATTTAAAATATGTCGTTGGGAATTGTGGTTAGTAACTAAAACACCTGCGTATCATTACTCACTAGGCTACCCGCTTAGCCACAGTATAAACATGAAAGGTGATCTCTAAATGGAGAATGGAAGTACAGTTTTCATGACGAATTTTTATATTTGATAACATTTCATTTTGCCAGAAAACATACTGTTTTTATAGAATCCGTCCACTGGAGCCTTGTGTGGTGATCCTATTATATGCAGCGACTGAGTTTCAAAAAAGTCCTGTTGACATAATTGTTCTTTAATTCGATCAAATATAACGTGCACAAAAGCCATCCATTTCATTCCACTAGTTGATGAGTCCAGTGATGCCTGAGATTACAAGCACGTTTACAAATTTGAAAGCATATGTGATTATATCTACCCAGCTTATCAGTAAGTCGACAATAATAACAAAACCGTAAAACCAAAGAATATCACCGAGTGTAAAACACATAAATGAAAACTACTTATTTGCACAAAAATGTTAGACATTTCACGAAATTATTTTTCTACATTAGCATAAGGATTCAGATAATCGAATAAGACCCTTGAAATTTGAGTATTCCATCAAAAAAGGATATTTTCATACGAATAGAATGAGAGGTAAAAATGTAATTTTGAAATTCACAACGGATATTCTATGTTGAACCCCTACAACATTACACAGTGAATAGTCCCGCTTATGAATATTAGATTTTTTTCAATTTTTCAGTACATTTTAAAACAGTAAAGTTTACCGTTACTCCACAATGATATAATGAATAGCAGGAACCGGTTACCAAAATAAGACTCTTTACAAGTTACCAATTTCATTCTATTTAAAATGCCCTACGTAATAAACCAGAATAAACGATCACCAGCTACAATCAAAGGAATCGGTGAATGACCAATGAGAATCCACAAAATTAACTGCGGAAAACACAAAAGCGATGGGTTGTAGTCACTAATTATACAGAGGTTAGTGTGCCGAAAAACATTTGTCATTCAGGTTGGCCGTATTTAACTACTTTTATCGAACTTTCATCGCAGAAACACTAACCAACGCACTATTTAGTTAGCGCCAAATGTTAGCAATAAAATAGACTGGTTTATACATGAATATGGTAAGTATTCGATGATAAATTCAATTACTTCTGAATACTCATTTGGGACTAATATTACTATCAATACTGTGCGATACTTAATAAATTATTTTAAATATCTTAGATGAAAAACAACAATGAGCAAGTGTATATTACAAAAACGAATTCTTAAGTCTGAGGATTGGGAAAGACATACCGTTTAGGATTGACCGGATTATTTAGGTCTTTCTTATGACTAATCATTCTGTAACGAGCGATTTCTTCAGGGTAACGCATAACGCTGTAATTATGATAGACTACTCTAGCGTATAAATCGTCATCTTCTCCACCCCATCCAAAATACATATTTGAAAATCCCCCAACCTTTTCAAACTGTTTCTTGGTGAACGCCACAGCTCCGCCAAAAATTGTAAGATAAGGAAGACTAAAAAATAATAAATTCATGTGAATAAAGTTATTTAGCAAAATTTTTGGGTAGCTTTATTGAGAAAAAAACAAACACACCACGCATAAACATGTTTGATTCTTGTTTGTCATGAAAAGGCATCCGTCTAGTCAATAACTAGATATATTCCAGTTAGCCCCAAATTATGACAGTAGTAAAATAGATCACAATTTTCCTAACTCTTGGAAATTAGAAGTTTCAGGATTTGGTTACAAAATACGAAAAGACTCTACAACTTTGATTCAGTTCTCTGTAATGACTGTTGTCTACCATAATGCAGTTGCTTCGAAGTAATAGAGTAGTTTATATAGTCACTAAAATTGATACCGCATTGACAAGGTAATATGGTGCATCGATAAATCTATGTATAGAATTTAAGTCCAGTGGTAGACCGTCTGGTGCTTGCGTTTTTTTAGAAATATACGTATTTCAACTTATTAAATTAATTTACACTTCGTTTTTAAGGAATCACTACTTTTATGCTTGTTCATACTATCATTTTTATACATGCTGGATGGTCCTTATTGATGGATTATTATTTATGCTAAAATAATGGTCGACAGAACTTACAAGTGTGAATCTGAGTTGAAGTATTGGAATCTATCCATGAATGCATTTACAATATGAAGCTCACAGCTGAAATATAGATGGTTGGTGAACTGCATTCTAGTTAGGGTCTTAAACAAGTGGGTCCCAAAAATTCACCGTAACTAGGTAGAAAGCTGATAATTCCTTGAACAAAGTCTAACGATGTAAAAGTTACATAAATACCAAGTTTATTTGGAAGTTGGTTAGAAATATAAACTGTCCTAATTCATACGATATGACTTCCTCGACTAAAGTATTGAATCAACTTTCTTATTTATTGAAGAATGTTACCAACTGGACAAATTCAAAATTTAAAAGTCTAGGAGTTTAAGTATAAGCACTGACCGGTAGTTAAACTTGTCCACAGCAACAGATAGGTGTCTCGGTTGGTTGGCACAACGATATGAATTTCGATCGTCTTCAGGCAATAAATCCACATCATGAAATATGAAGCAGTCAAAATTTGTAACCCGTTTCGACTCGATAAACCCAACATTCAGAAGGAGGGCACGATTGAAATGAGTTTCACCGTCCTAAACATGTATTTATAAGTAGAAAATGAAGACTTTAGCAATACTACAACCTTGGTTATTTCATGATTAATCTCCACAATAGAATCACATACGTAAACAGCCTAGAGTGAAAAATGGTAGTCTTTATTGTTACTTCGCTTGAATACCTAAAAACGTCTATTGGGAGTGAGGTGAACCATAAATAAAGAAACTCCATTATTGTTTGAACGCTAAATAAGGAAGATGCTGTTGATTCAAATACTGCTACAACACTATGTTGGTAAGAAATTGATTTTGTTGCAATCTACAATCATTCATGTCAAACAAATGACCTAGTATATATTAAAACTCTGCTTTCAGTAACAATGTACTATTTTAGTGCATGTTTCGTAAATACCACGGACGTCAATCAATAGGATTAACCTATCAACACAGTTTAGGGTTAGTGAAAGTAATATATTACTATACCTATTAACAGCCATAGAGCACAATATCTTTACGAAGAAAAACCCACAATCCTGTGGGAACAGAAAATGGACCGTAACCCAAGAAAAAGAACATAAGATGAGAATTTACCAAACACAACACGAAAACATCTTTGTTACCGGAACCTTAAATATGGGTGTTGAGAATGATCATCTTGCCTTTTCTCATCAATTTTACTGTACATTTACAGAAACTATGGTCCAACCGATGTCAAAACCCACTTTTGGAGCAAGAAGCACAAATTTTCCAGGTTCGTGGCTTGGTAGTTACTCTTGAGTGTTAACCACTAGGTAGTAAGTGTAATCCCTGCTCCAGATACTTCGGTCTAGGCAACTGAGTATTACCATTAAACCTGACAGAAATGGCTTCAAGTACAAGAAAATGAACCCAAAGATAATGAATAACATTGGATGGACCTTGTAAATGCCCTTAAAATATGTAGTATACACACTAACCGTGACCTTTAGTGTGGAGTTCCAAATTGAGGCAATATATGAGCGAAATGATTCAAAATTACATTACCATGATAACAGTGGTTGAAAAATATAGTTGAAAGTTCTGAAAAGGGTTCAAAAGACAACTGAAATCATATCTAAAAATAATAACTAACTTGATTTATAACGAAAATGGTATACATAAGCAGTTGGTTACGCAGAAAAGCATGCATATGTCCTAAAAACATACGCAAATGAATATCACGATTTCGGTACGGGACAATAACAGCCAGCTTTTCAGTTGGATCACATACATTTGGATGCCACAATCCGACGTATTTCTCCAATGAATCGGTGTAATTGTGGGAACTAATAGATCCATTGTGGATCACCACAGGGTTTAAACTGGGTTGTGAATAGGTGCCACCTTTTGAAAGGATAATTTTACGTTGAGAGGGTGATGATGTGTATTTCTCCATTAAGGAATCCCAAGTAGGCACATTAGTCTCGATTTTTAAACTCCCAACTAGTGATAACAAAAGGATGGATTGTTGTGAATCATGCAAAAAGCTGAGGTGACAAACAAATTAAAACAAAAACGTGACAAAGTAAACGCTCATTCCTTGTTAAATAACAGGGAACAACAATACTGACACTGATGGAGAGAACAACTAGATATTTTAAATAAACAATAAGATCAATCAAATTCAGCAAATAGTAGATAAATATAAAAGATTTTTGGACACCTCACAGCCTCAGTTGAAACTCAGAAAATCATTAAATCGGACAGCAAGATCACATTGGGAGTATGTGATGCATAATGATACAAGACACTAGATACATATTTAAGTTGATAGACAACGCAAATCACTCTCAACTGAGTACTGAAAATATAGAGGGAGACGATCAAAACCGATAGTTAAAGCATACATGAAATTGATAGGATATTCTCTTTACCTTAAAGGATATTACATCTGGTACCGAATCCACTAGTTCGCCCAAGTGGCCAAAAGCTAGACAACGTAGAAACTTAAGAAAGTTTAACGGTTTAAGGTAGCATATACATAGATACAACAGAAAGGGATTCGATAGATAATAAAATTAATCGATGAAGACCAATAATTTGATTTTAATATTTGAGATTTGTTTCTTTCCCTCTAAATGGTGCCCCATTACTAGTCTGCTTCAACTTCTCAACTAATGATAAGGAATGAATTAATTGAGCACGTCAACCACTGAACTCATCATATGAGTTTCATTAGCTTTGGTATCTGACGAAATCTCAGAACGGATCCAAAGAGCTCCATTGGTGATTGCCACTTGATCCATAGACGATATGTTCGTTTATCTACCAAAGGGTGAAGATACTGTGCAGCAGTCCGCTCATTTCTACTTAATAGCTGTGAGATGTGACCTTTTAAACAGAGGATATTCGTAGGTTACCAGTATTTAATCCTACATGCCTTCGAAGCATTGCTCATGTATATTGTGATGTTAGACACAAAGTACTAAGCAAGGATGGCAAGTTGGTTAACTAGCTTGCAAATATTCGTCGACTGAGACAGTTGGAACATATATTATGTATGATTAGCTACCTTCTGCCACCATTTTGACGATGATTGGTGTAGGGGTAGGTTGGAAGAAAGCTAAGGGCTAGTATCGAAGTGTGGGATCGGTCCACGAAGACATTAACTAATGAACTGAGTCTTACAGGTAGGTGCAGACTACTTGGTCAGGGTCCGCGTGATTATCATAACCAACTGTTAGAGAATTGAGTCCTATCTTTTTCTATCACCTCTAATATTGTTACTATTTATACTGTAGCACACCGACATGCTGATGTAGTGACAACTTGAACCGATGTACTCATGTGCCAGGTTTTACGTTCTGTATGACTGATGAACTGATGTTAGAGTTAATGTTTTCACAGTCATAGTATATGAAGTTTCAAGCTCTCTAATAATGAAGTCAAGAGAGGTCAACAAACTTTAGCTATGATTAGAATACAACAATTCCAAACTTGTAAGCTTGCTGTAAAATAAAATATAAGGAAAATTAGGGTCAAACTTACTAGCATGAGGATTTTCTTTTGGGCATTCTTGTTGTTGTGAAACAACCTAGAAAGTATAAAAACCTACTATAAGGACTTAGAACGTATTGGGATTTCGAACTGGAGTACTTTGTTAGCACTAACAAAATAACAATTCAAAGTCTAGTAAACCTTATGTGAAAGATAATTGTAATTACTTGAAAATCTGATGAAGCCAGTTTACTTAACTATCTCAAACATATGCTATTAATAAATAAACATTACTACAACACGCATTAAAGCCAATCTACATTGGTAACTTCTGCTGCGTAAAAGCTTACCGACCTAATTGATACAATTTTATGAAGTTTATATGTCAAGTTAGAAAGTACATTTACAAACACCAATACTTACAAAATTTCCCAAATCCGTCACATTAAATGGGAGTTTACGCAAAAAGTTCGGGATATTTTGAGAACGGGAGATATGTACATATAAAAATATTGATCCCAGGAGGAATAAGAAAATTGAACAACCGAAGCAAATTCGTTGTGATATAAAAGTTTGCATCATTTTGAAGTACAAATTTACTCCATTACCACCAATGGCTTATGATTTCTTCACTAAAGATTCTGCTCCACTTTTATTCAAAATGAGATTTTGTTTTTGGTTCACAACGGGAATTCTTGAAGAATAAGGAATAATAAAAATACGAGAAAAAAGTGGTATAATATTTAAATAATGTAACGCCACCGAGGTTAACAAAAAAGCTCTTTTGCATTTTTTGGTTAGCCAAAGAAAGAAAAATCTAGTTGGCAATAATATAATTAAAAACCACAGGATTGATATCATGGTAAGTCTAACAGGTACGTAAACACACACGTTGCAATAGTATCTCGGGTAGAAATCGTAAAAGGATGTGATACTTAATGATCCTTCTGAGCAAACAAAATTCCAACTGTAATATCTTCCTATTTTAGAAGTAGTCGAGAGAAACATAGTTTTTTCCTCGGATAACTGTTTTTTTTTTAAAATAAATATTTTGAAAAACGACATTCAAACCATGAGTGTTTTCCTCTGACTTATGTGGAAAAACTGAGGTTTTCAACCGGGTTATATTTTATAATCACCACCACTCGACCCCGCTCTATAACATATATTTATCTAAAGTCTCAAACCAAACGTGAAAAAATACCTAAAACTATGCAGTCATTTTATTATCTTAGGAGCTTAGACTGTAGAAATGACTAACGTTGCTCTCGAGCTTGCTCAAATAATTGCTTCTTTTAGGACACTTAGGTGGTGGCTTAGTTTTAAAGGGATCTGACTTCGGGCCACTAAGTCCCACGTTGAGAGCATGCTCTAGCTATCTCGGTTTGGGAGACCGAATAATATCATTAGCTCTTATACTTAATGTGGCTCGAACCCAAGAATCCGGTGAATGTATTAAGTAATTCACGCCAGGATTAATTGAAAACACAATGTGTTTTGTCTGAGTGTGTATTTGGACCTACAAAAAGGATATAGGCTAAATAGATTAACAAAATGCTATTAGATTACCATATTACACTTAGTTGAAGGTTGAAAACTGTTGACAAGGACGTACCATTCATTCTACCTAACTGAGGATGAAAAAACAGAAAATATTGACTTTTATATTAACTGTTCACTGATCAGACTAGTGGCTTTCGTCAAGCTGAACCAACTAAATCATTACTTGAGTAAACGATTCAACCAAATAAATGACCAGGAAACATAAAAAATTACTGGTCCACGACAGGCAATTAACAGTGAGAAGATGAAGGTTATGTGGTATGAATGTAAAGAATGGTTAGCTTTAAGACGGCATATTTATTTGAATACATAAACTTATGATATCCCACATGACAAGAAACTAGTGCAGAAAGACATCCTACAAATTTTTAGAAGAGAATAACCAATCTAGTGAAACATATAAAGAAGAGGACATAAGACCTGATACAATATGTCACTGGTCGGATTCTCACGACATCAAAGGCTATACATAGTTTGTCAGTGAATTACAGAAGAATACCCACACTTCCCTATAAAGTTTCAGTTTGGGAAGGACAGGATGCCTGATGGCCTGTGTTAGTCCTGGCAATGGTGGTCTCTCAGTTGATAAAACTTTCTTTTGAAAGAATCGACGGATGAAGCCTCAACCACGTGCCGAGGTAATGAGTTCCACCCGATGATGATTCGATGGGAAAGCCGACAGTCAGCTGACAAGTAATTTGTTCTTGGCTTGTGAACTTTTTCGGAGTGTCCAAGTAAATTCTCTGTTTTGGGACACAAGAAAAATGAGGGCATATCAGGTGCAAATTTGGCACTAAGCAATTTGAAAACTGTAATCAAGTCGCCTCTAGTTCTGCGATATGACAACGGGAAAAGGTTCAGCTTGGCCAGCCGAGCTTCATAAGGAAGTTTCGCTATTCCGGGAATCAGCTTGGTTACCGTTCTCTGATCCTTTTCCAGAAGCTCACTGCCTTTTTTAAAGCAGTAGCTAGCCGCATGTATGCAGTACTCAAGTTTAAAACGTACGAACACTGTATATAAAGTCAAAAACGTCTTAGCGTCGACATGACTAAAAGCCCTATGTATTGACTGTAAAGTTCTGAAACCTTTGGCGGCTATTGCACGGAAGTGTGCAGTGGTCTTTCAGTCTTGGCTAACGATGACTCCTAAGTCATTGTGTGTCAGGACAACCGGTAGTTCAGTGTTATTCATCGTGTGTGTATCTGTACCTTGGTGACCGATATGCATCACAATACACTTGGATGTATTAATCGGCAACTACCAGGTTTGAGACCATTCAGAAAATTTCTCCAGGTCATTTTGGAGTTCTAAGCTATATTCTTTACTTCATATCGCTCTCCATATCTCGACATGATCAGCACTTAGCAAGGCTGATGATGATGGTAGACGAGGAAGGTCATTTGCATACAAGAGGAATAACACGGGCCCCAAAACTGTACCCTGGGGCACTCCACTAACCACAGTTCCCCAGCTAGATAACTTTGAGTTCACCCGAACTCTTTGTTGACGCCCAACTAAGAAGTCTTTTGTCCACATAAATAGATTGCCTCCAATCCCGACATTTCTTAACTTATATAACAGCCGGTTGTGCGGAACCTTGTCAAAAGCTTTGCTGAAATCAATGAAGGCTGCGTCTACAGGTAACTTTTGGTCCTTGAGAGCGCACCAGTTTTCACGAGCCACTACTAAGCTAGTGAGACAAGAGTAACCTACTCTGAAACCGTGCTGCTTCTCCGAAAGGATCCGGTTTTTATCGAGATACTTAAACAGCTCCTTCCGAACAATCTTTTCTATGATTTTAACAACTACACTAGTTAGGCTAACGGGGCGGTAATTCTCAGGTTTGTGTTTCGTACCTGTTTTGAAGACAGGACTTACTATGGCGTTTTTCCAGTCTTTGGGTAAACGACCCTGCGTTACGGATAGGTTAAAGCATATACTTAAAGGGTTCGCAACGAAGTTAGATAATTCTTTCAGCAGCCTAGGATGTAATTCATCGGGCCCCGTGGATTTACCTATGTCAAGCTTATTTGGTAGACCAAAGACATCGAGTTCTTTAATGGTCACGCTATCCAGTGTATGTGTGGGGGATCTGTACGCGCTGATGGGAAGGGTGCTTCTATGGTGTATACATTGCTGAAGTAGTTTGAGAACACTTGAGCCTTACCAAAGTCGTCCTCCACTAGTGACGCGGCAGTACTGTTTCCCCATAGAGCAGGAATATTTCCTCTTCTCTTTGTCCTTTGGTTTATATAAGAATACAAGCGTTTAGGACATTCTATGGATTCCTTAACAATGTTTTCTTCGTACAACTTTCTAGACTTACGGAGGGTCGAGGCACAGGTCATATAAAAACAGAATTAAAAGGAGAGACATTCTGTTTACTGTAATTGAGTGTTAATAAATTTTCTCAACTAATTAAATGAAAGATATCCTGGTCAACAAGGGCAATTGATGTTTTCCACGTAGCATAGCATGAAGCAGTTTTCATGACGGTGCTTCATTTTAATCGCCAGCCAGTGAGTAAAAGTTACGACGTAAAAATAATGGGAAGTTAAATTAACGCATATTAAGTAGTCGCAATGATCTGGATGTCTAAAACCAACCACAGACATCCAAACAGGGGAGAACAAGAACTGACTAAAGCACAAACACGTATAAACGATTAAAACGCCAAGACAATTCCCAAAGCCCATAAATTACATTTGTCCTCTAGCACTGTCCAGCCTTTTTTCACGTTTTTTACTAGAAATATGTTGACTTAAAGCTTATCACTAAAATCCAATTTGGTCAGATAGTTTTAGTTGATAATAGGATTTAGACAAGATTTAACTCAAATCATAACTTCACAGAGAGGGGTTAAAAATTAAATGTAACTAACGGTGGGAATCACTGACTATTTCGACCTAAATATACCTTAGCAAATGTACATAGGCAGTAACGGAGGAAATTTTCAACCGGAGGCACATAAATACTTAGCAAGGGCAACCAACATTCAATACCATTGTACAATTTATGGTCCAATGATTCAGATTCAGATTTGTGTAGTAAAGACAGAAGGCCTACAGCTTTTGTTATTCTTTTTAGTATACCTCTGTGAATGCCCAATCTTTTCTGAATGAGTCAACTGTATATGCAGACACCACTGCTTTGGGCAACATGTCCCAAGAATTGATGACCAATATGCCACGGGTATTTTATTCGCTCTAGGCTTTTCTACTCGCCTGCTATGTTCTCTGAGATGTACCGATTTAGTGGGGAGAAAAAGAGGGGATATATCAGGTCCCAAATCACTTCTTGGTATTCTACACATCAAAATTAGATAAACTCTTGATCTGTGATAGGACAGAGCAGTTTCAGTTTCAGTTTGGAGAGGACAGGAGGCTCGATCACCTGTGGTAGTCCTCGTAATGACGGTCTCTCAGTTAATTCAACGTTCTTTTGAAAGAATCGACGGATGAAGCCTCAACCACGTGCCGAGGTAATGAATTCTACTCGCTGGTGATTCGATGGAAAAGCCGTTAGTCAGCTGACAAGTAATTTGTTCTTGGCTTGTGAACTTTTTTGGAGTGTCCAAGTAAATTCTCTGTTTTGGGACATAAGAAAAATGGGGGTGAAAATTTATCACTCAGCAACATAAAAACTGTAATCAAGTCGCCTCTAGTTCTTCGACATAAAAACGGGAAAAGGTTTAGCTTGGCCAGTCGAGCATCGTACAATGTCAGAAGAGTTTTAGCGTCGACATGACTAAAAGCCCTATGTATTGACTGTAAAGTTCTGAAACCTTTGGCGGCTATTGCACGGAAGTGTGCAGTGGTCTTTCAGTCTTGGCTAACGATGACTCCTAAGTCATTGTGTGTCAGGACAACCGGTAGTTCAGTGTTATTCATCGTGTGTGTATCTGTACCTTGGTGACCGATATGCATCACAATACACTTGGATGTATTAATCGGCAACTACCAGGTTTGAGACCATTCAGAAAATTTCTCCAGGTCATTTTGGAGTTCTAAGCTATATTC